GGGGGGTGCTGGGTTTGAACTTGAACGAGCAAGTGAAGCCTGACAAGGGTTATTCATCTCTGTGGGCGACGCCAGAGTGGAGGGCGGTAAGTCAGGAGCTGGGTTTGGAGGGAACATCCTTTCATCAAGGGCCTTTGGGACATGCCAAGGCTCGTCCCGCTACCTTGTACACCAACATGTATCCCGATCCATTGCTGATTGATTGCTGGGATGAGGGCTTCCTTACTAGACCTCGAGGTCCGAATCAGGCCAAAACATGGTCGCAGTGGGCTCCAGGGCTCTGGTTGGCTGTTTCAAACATGTTGGGGAGGACTCTGAGGGGAGGAAAACCTCTAAAGGAGTTTGGTGTTCGTTCGATTGATTCGGCCTTTATTGAACATCTGAAGAATAACCACGTCCTATATCGTCGTGATTGCAAACATTGCATCCAGGGCGGAGCGCGCCGCAAGCAACACCGTAAGATCCTTGCGCCACAGGGATGGACACTTAGTGTGGACACTGTGGGCCCTTTTCCAAAGGGGATGGATGAGAACTCATCCAAGGCAAAATATCTCATCGTTGGTGTTCTGTCAGTGCCAATCTTGTCGGCCCAGGGCGAGGGCGTTGAGGCACCAGCGGACCGGGATCCTCGTGTGACATTGCAGGAATTTGCAGCTTCGCTTGATGACAGGGAGTGGCTGGTTGAAAGGGGTATGGAGCTTGAAGAGGCTCTTGGTGAACCAACCAACAAAGAGATTGCTGAGACTAAAGAGTCATGGGATGCTTGGAATGTGGTGGTTAAGAAGAGTCGCGCTGAGTGGTTGGAGGAAGCAAAGGTCCACTACCTCCCCAAGGTTGAAATGGTTGACTTTGTGTACACCGAAGCGGTGGAGTCTAAGAGGCAACATGTTGTTGTCGGGGCAATCAGTCGTATGTATGCCAAGGCTATTTCAGATGGGTTGGACGTGCGGCGGGTGCATACGGATCGTGGCAAAGAGTTTAACAACTCTGCCTTGAAGGCTCTGTGTGCCAAGTTTGGGCTGCATCAGACATTCGCAGTTGCCGAAGAACATCAGACGAATGGCAGGGCTGAAGGTGCTATCTTGAGGATAAAGAATCGTACGCGAGCTATTCTTCAAGCAGCTGGTGTTGATGATTTGAGTGAATGGCCACTTGCAGCCAAGCTCGCTGCGTATCAGCTCCAGGCAGAAGCCCGAAAAAAGTTGAAGATGTCTTCGGAGCCCGCCTTGCCCTATAACACCGAAGTCCAAGTACTTCAACGCTCTTGGCGTTGCAATGTTTGGGGTTCCCGCACCATGGCGTCGGTGCTGGAACCGGGCGATGCCGACAAGGTGTCCTCCAAGTCGTGGCGCGAGTTGCCGGTCACGCTTTCCTTTTTGGCCGGCTTCGACACGACCCATGCAGGGTGCAATGTGACGCCGTGGCGGTATCACAAAGCAAAGCAGACCCAAGCACGGCAGCTGAAGCATTTGCTCAGGTTTGCCTTGAAGGAGCTGATATTGGACCAAGCCCTTCATACCTGGTCTGCCGCGAACTCAGCAACGGTCCGAGCTGCAGTGGCACGATCGGAGGAGGCAGCAGCAGCCCAGGTATTCACCCTCAAGGGCCAATATGGACTCTCTCGCCAGCAATGCATTCGAGTCCGGATCCAGCTTCTAGTCAAGAAGCGCAAGGCAGCCAAGAAAGGGACCCCTGCCCCTCGTGGTACGGCCCAGGCTGCCACCCCCTCGCAGTCGAGCGGGCGGGGCTTCCGAGCAGAGCTTCCTCTGCATGCCGGTGATTGCTCCTTCGCCGTCCTCTTCTTCAACCCCCTGTTGCCGACGACTGCTCCTCTAATCCCGGTCAAGGCCATGCCTCGCCTAAAGCCCAGGCTAAGATTGCAAAGCAAAAGCCTGCGAGCAAGAAGCGACCGCAGAGCGGAGACCTTGCTGCCACGCCTTCGTCACTTTCCATTCCTGGTTCGTCGTCGAGTTGTTGAATGCTGGCATCGTCCCGGTCATGGAGGCCAGCCGGAGCCACCCACAGTTGTGGCCAGGTTCCTGCCTGACCAAGAGGAATCCTGTGGTGCTGCTGGGAGGGTTGCCTCATGGCATCTTATCGGGGCCTCTTCTCCAGCCACAACGTTGGCCTCGTTACAAGTTGCTTCCGAGAGTCGCTCCGGGAGAAAGGTGCATACTCCCACAAGGGAGTGTTGCACCGAAACGTGGTCATTACCCACCTCCCCTCGAGAAACGACGACTGGGGAAGAACCTGCATCCTCAACGCCCTGGCAATGGTGAGTCCGTCTACGTCCATTGCATGGCCGGTGTGCATCGTGCCCCCTGTGTTGCAGGGATCATTGTTGCACATTTGCGGGACTTGTCGTGGGACGACGCTGTTGAGCGCTTGCGCCAGCTCCGCGCGATTGAGCCAGAGAAGGTCTTGCAGCGCAGCGCAGCAACATGCAAGTGGCTCCGGCGGCACGCTGACTCCCGAATAACGTCGCAAGCGACAGTTCAGCTGCCGATGCAGTTCGTGTGTGGAGTCCAGCGTGGGGCGGCAATTCATGCACTCGCCGAGGGTAGCTCGCGAGAGTCGCCGCAGCCGGTTGGAAGCAGGCCTGGCACAATGTTGCCTTGTAGTTTCGCGAGGCCCCATGGTTTTGCGACGATCCGCTGCAAGCTTTGGGCTGGGGACGTCCGTGGTGCAGAGCCTGTAACATTATGTTGCCAGCCAAAGTGCAGGCCCTTCTCGAGGAGAACAACATCGTCTTCCGTTGAGCCGTTCCAGGGTTGTCAAAATGAGCCTCGCGGCCGAGTGTGCCACAGTGTTGTGTGAGACTTTTTGCCCCTCTTCAGCTTTTGCTCTCAGGTTAGGAAGCCCTTACCCAACCATGTCCCATTGCCGCTTGCCAGGATGTCCTCGTTCGGCCTATATGGTGGTCACCTATTTTGCTGCGGCAGGCCCTGCAATGTGGGGCACAGCAGGGAATGCGATCAGCGTTTCTATGGGGATGATTGCCGGCGTGGGCGTCGGGGTGCCAGACCTTCAGCTACACGAGGGGCCGGTGTGTACACGTTCAGTTTGAATACGCCGGTGTTGCCCGTGGCTGCAGAATGCTCTGGAAGACCCCGATGAGCCCCCCTACACCAAAGCTCTCCTCATCTCCTTCTACATGATGGCCTAAAGCATCACCCCTGAGAGCCGCCATAGGTTCTACACGCAGCTCCTCTTGGTTTTTCACCCAGATCGCACTCCAGTGGTGGAGGCACACGCGATCAGCAGGGTGTTGACCCAGCTGCTAAGCGAGTCTTAGGCGGTTGAGCCCTTGATCTGAGTATGAGGCTGGGTTATAGCCAAAAAACTAAAACTATTCCACTCGTGCCTGCAGAGTAGAGTGTGCGAGGGCGAATTTACTCGCATTTTGTTTTGCCCGTAGCCTTCTTTCTCTCTGTAGCAGGTGCCGTCGGTTCTTAGGTTCCCCTTTTGCGCCATGGCTACTAAGGAGGCTATTTTCGAGGAGCTCGCGAACCGCTTCAAGTTGGAAGGCCACATCAAAGATCAGATACGAGGAGTTGATCGCGGCCTTTTTCACTCCTGGCGAAGGACAGTTGGAGAACAAGCCCTTGCAGCGGGCTCGCCTTCGTCAGGCTTGGAATGCAGTCGTGCAGGCGGAGCAGCAGAGGGAGGATAAAGGTACCCACGTTTCAGCTTCTCTGGACGAGGAGGACGTGTTGCCGTCCCAACAGTTGGCAAGCATCCGTGATATTTTCTGGATGCGGTACCGTGTTAAACATTACTGCCTAATAGGAACCCAGTGTTTGCACACAGTTGTAATGTATAGGAACCACTTGAGCCGTGCTTTCGCCGACAGGCTCAAGGACCCAGACACAACAGTGCGGTACAAGGAAAAGTGTGCCGCAGTGCTTTGGGATAGGAACGTTTAGTGAACCTCGAATTTTAACATACCGCCTTACCTTTCCCCCGGAATGCAGCCCAAGCGACAAGTGGATCACAAAAGCTCAAAGGTGCATCACGAAACGCACGTTGGACGTTATCAGCGTATGGGATGTGCGCACGGCTATGAATCCAAGGACAGCTGGCGGAGGCAGAAAACGCAAAGTTGCTGATTCTGTGTATGTTGCCGAGCGCTTGGACGAGGATGACGCCGAGATTGGCAAAGGCTGGCATCAATACCTGATGCAGCTCCGGGTCTATATGCATGCCTTGGCCGTCCCAGGTGCTCTTCCCATCGATCCTCTCCCTGCTGAACAGGAGACTGCGGAGGGCTGCGTTGAGTTTGTGCAGGTCCCCTTGAACGTCCTCATGCAGTACTAGTTCAGGGCTGAAAGACTCGCTTCGGAGTTGGCCGAAGGGTCGCGCCGGCCGTATAACGAGAACCTGGACCGTGCAGAGCGTGGGGAGTGGGCCCAGAGGGTACTCTCTGGGTGACAGCACCTTGGGAGCTGTGATCCTTACGGTTATGAGGGAGCGCGATTCCTATTGGATGCGCCCGAGCATCCCCAAGGAACGCGTCCTCCTCCGCTTCCTCGCAACGACCGTAAGCAGAACAGCGCTGGAAGCAGCACCGATCCGCCGATGTATGCGTCGCAGCTTCGTGATGGTACTAAGTTGTGCCAAGCTTTCCAGGAGGGCCGCTGCCGCAACAATGGACAGAGCTGCCCCAACGGCAAGCATCGTTGCGGTGTGGTGTGCCACAGTGGGCGTATTTGCGGCTCCCCAGATCATTCGGGAAACCGCTGCCGATTCATGTCCCGTACCTGATCGGGAGTGGCCCCGGAGTCGGAGTTGACCGGCTCATCCGAAAACAGCGTGTGCGCTGTCAATCTATCTAATTGCTCTGAGTTGCAGGGTACATGCTTTCCACGGCTAGTTGCCGAGTTGCAAGCTATTTGGGAATCCACGGCTCATGTTGATGAAGCCCCGTGCAAGGTAGAAGCCTTTCTGGATTTGTTGTCAGGGCCTCGTTGCCCTCTCAGCCGTGCCTTTGCTCTCGCGGGGTGGACAGTCATGCAGCCAGTGGATTTGCAGATTGATGCGAGGTTTGACGTCACATGTCCTGCAGTCCAGCATGCCATTGGTAGGGTGTTGCCCTTTTGCCATTTGTCTTCGGCTGCAATCGACTGCTCCACCAAGTCCCGCATTCGCGAAGTCCCGCTTCCCGGCACTCACTCTCCCAAGCCTCTTAGATCCCTGCAACAACCTCGAGGGCTTCAGGACTTGTCTGCCAGGGATGCTCATGATAATCTGTGTTCAGATTTTCTGCTTGCCACACAACAGGTCTTCAAGCAGAATGGCCGAGGCGCGTTTCGGGAGAACCCA